GAGTGAGAGAGAGAGAGAGAGAGAAGGAGGAATAAGGAGAGGGCGAGCCAAAGTGAGGAACCACTGGGTCGAGTGGGCTCCCCTCTACACGCCCACGTTGTGTGAAGTAACCACTATGGAGGAAACACACTGACTCATTGTCATGCTGAAACAACACGAGACCATGCACAACAACGCATCAAATAGAATGGGCTGACCAACACACTCTCCTCCAACCCCTTCTCCTAGCTCCCCATAACCAAATCAGCAAAAATCAGCAATCATGCAGGAAATAGAAGACCCCTACCTCCCTCCCCCCCCCCATCTATTTTCACCTCTTCACATCTGCTAAAACCAGACTATAAAACCACAATTCTAAAATTCTAAACACAATAAAACAACACCAGATGGAGAAGAAACCTTTGAATAACCCAGTGGGGGCTCTTGTGGCCTAGATGTTAAGGTGTTCGCCTCTCGTTCAAAGGTTCTGAGTTCGAATCCGGGTAGCGACCAAAAATATGTTCTCCTCTAAAAGTGTCTCCTTTCACCTCCTTTCCTGTTCTCTAGCAATGTTCAGTCGTCTGCTTCGTCTTCACTTTCTGCCCCCACCCCCTCACCTCCTTTGCCCCTCCTCTGGGCTCCTGACTCTTTCTGCAGCCTTTCTACTGCTACTCTTAGGCGCCTTCTTACTGCTATCTTTTAGCCACACCCCTGATCTTATGGTAGGAAAGATCTACACCTAGCCTTCTCGGATAAGGGTGAAAAATCTCGGAAGGCCCGTGTGCAGGGTGCGCACGTTAAAGGTCCCTTAGTGGTCTAAAATCAATAAGAGTAGGCTTCGGCCGCCACCCAGGCAAAATTCAAAATTTCCTGCCGACTGAAAGAGTTTCAAGTTGCGAGCGCCGTAAAACACTTACTAAAAATAAAAAAGAATAAGCCAGAACTGCTCACCTCTTCATGATGGGCACTTTGTCCTGCCCCGCCACAAACTGGGCCCGGTTACACAACATGGCGCACCGAGAGATGGGTTCCCAGCCGGCGAACTTACTGAACGGGTTGTTCTCTGTGCCTGTGTGTGTGTGTGTGGGGGGGGGGGTATATAGGGAGAGAAGGAGGATGGGGTGGGGAAGGGGGTCAGACAATGAAGAAAACTCTAACGCTAACACTAAACATAACGACAAACTGTCCCCGGTTACACAACATGGCGCACCGAGAGATATTATAATGATTGTTTCCAGCTGGCGGA